ACAAATTTCGTGCTAAATTTGGAGCACAAAAAATTAATGCGAACAAATTCAAAGAAATTTAATTTAATTTTTTTTGCAAAAATTTAATTGGGATACAAACTCTTTTTTTTTTTAAGAATACCCTTTGATTCTCTTGTCACGAACATGACTGAACTTGCATTTGTAGCTTGTCACGGACACGACCCGTAAAGCTTGACGACTTTAATGGTAGGAGGTCTCTTGTGATGATTCGACGAAGGTCTTCTTGACTACAACAATTTAATAGAAGATTTATTGTTTGTAGTAATTTGATGGGATCTTTCTTTGAGTACAGAAACTCAAAGGACCAAATTCTTCGATTCGCGTGACACGGGACTGCAACAGTTTTGAAGCTTCTACAGTTGAGAAATCAAATTTCTGGTTGGGAATTGCTGGAGAAAGTCGAAGATGAGAGAATGGTTTTGTTGAAAATCTCTCAACATGCACATGACTAACAACATTTAATTTGAAACTTCAACAGTTCAAATTCAGCACATGAGCTAGACTTCTTCCAAATTCTTCTATCTTCTCACTTCCTTCTCTTATTATTTTTTTATCTTTTCTTCTTTGTAGACGAACCAATTCTCTTCATCCTCCCGGTCACCTCTCTAAGAGAGAGTCTCACTACTCTCCTCTCCTTTTTATAATGGGTGGCCTCACTTGAAGAGCCCGCCCAACCTCACATTCGAATTGCCTTCATTTATCGAAACCTATTGTAATTTACCAAGACAATCTTCAATTTCTTTTTAATGGCAAGTAACAATTTTCACCCCAATGGGCCCATTGGGGTCATGATCAATTATAATTGGAAGCCATTTAGCAAATCCTAGTCCACATGTGGTCGGTCAAGATATCCAACCAACATTCCCTTTCTTCTATGATTCATTATGATGCACTGGCCCCACTAAATTTACAATTCGGTGGTCAATCTTTGATTCCCATTTAAATGTAATTAAATCCATAGATTAAATTTAACATGCCACTTGGCAAAGGGGCTGGGCCCATGCATCATTTAACCCATTGACCAGCCATAAATTTCCTTTTTTTGTGGATCAATTAAGCTTTTAAAGTTGCTGGTTGCCTTTTAAATAGGATTCACTAAATCCTAATCAAAGATTTGTTCATCAAATGGCAGATTTAAATCTAGGAATTTTTTTAAGAGTATTGCACTGAAAATTCGAGGCTTAAGCCCATGACCTATTAATGTAGAGTAACGGGCCAACGCCTTTTTTAGTGGGCCCAGTAACTTCCTCTGTTTAATTAAAATCAATAAAAAATGTTTTTTTTTTAATTTAACTTAATAAAAAGTAAGTCTCCCTCTCCCTAGTCCCTTTTAGATTATCTTTATATTTGTTAAACTAATACATAACCCAAGAATAATGTTAAAGATGGATAGGGTTCAGCGTGGCCTAATTAGATGTCCTAGGACTCCTGTATCTTAACAAAGCCTTTGTATCACATTTAAGAGTAATAAATTAATAAAATATAATAGAAATAAAGAATAAAAATGAGTACAAATTTATCAAATAACATGTAAATCAAAAATAATTTGGATTGAAATTAATACCACTTGGTCCAATTAATATTATCATAAAGCTATTAATTACCACAATTTGTTTAACAACACTCGTACATCTCACAGGGCCCGACTAATTTTACTACTCATCTACCAATTTGTTACTTTCGATAAATAGCTTTTACCAATAAAAAAAAGAAAGATCAAATCCTTCTTTGAACCTCTAGGTTGTTAGAAATTCCCCCTATAATACCACAATAGGCCAAGTCATTAGAAACACAAATAGCTCCATAAGAACTTGAGTTGGAAGGTATCATTCCAGCATCTGTGAAAATGATTAAATCGACATCAGAGTTAATTTGCAAGCTGAATTTAGACGAGTTAAATGGATCTAAGGCAACGGTATCATTCCAAATAAACTTAAAACATTTCTTCTGGGTGGAAGAAATTGAGAAAATCTGATTTTGCTAATACTGCACATAAGCCTACTTGGTAGAGAACTTTCCAAATGAATGACAAGTCCAAATTTAGGTAACAGTATTATCCTCAGGAAAGACTGGGGTATGCAGAATGTCCCTAAGATTGCAATGCAAATAAATTTGCACTGATGTAAAACCATGGCAGTGTAAATGATTTGAGTGTAAATTCTGACTTATTTTTATTTTAAATTTTAGTTTATTTTGTTTGATTACAGTACAAATGGAGCAAATTAAGATATAAAATAGAAAAAATAAAATCCAAAACAAAATTAAGCAAGAATTTGCAATTTTTTACATTTGCACCCCCATACATTTGTACTGGTGCAAATAAATTTTCCCTGCAACCAAACACAGCCTAAAGGTCTCCCCACTAAGATCCATCCGCTATAAAACTTGAGATTGGAGTATTCACTTGGATTTACAAGGATGGGCTAAGGGATCCAGTGAAATTTATTGTTTTTCAAGATCAAGGAACTTTATCTATTTCCACAGAGGAATTAGAATTCACAAAGGCTATGTTTAATTTGAAGAAAAAGACAGGAAAACCAATACAAACCAAACATAGCCTAAGAGACCCACTTCATGAGATAATTTTTTGAGTTGAGGTGCCACATATTTCTAGAAAAAAAGAGTTGGACGAGATAATGCTAAGAGGAAATTACATATGGTCCCTAAGATATTTGGATTTTTTCCAAATCTGGGTCCAAAGTTTGTGCTACTGCTTCAAAAATCGCCAGGCTAACTTCCTCAACAAAATTAGATTCATAGTTCTTGTTACCCAAGTCCTAAGTCCTAACCCTCCACCTATAAGGGTGAGGAAATGACTCCGATTTTTGAATGAATTGGAATAGTCTGCAACACCGATTGGATGAAGGTACGTTTCCCGGCCTCCCAGCCTGCCTGGCTGAGTCTTTCCATCGATTTATTAGTCTAGCTTTGATATTATTGTCCAAGACAAAGGAAAGATTGCCATTTTTATTCATAGACCAGCAGATAGGAAGCCTAGATACTAAGATTTCGGATCAAGAACTGGCGTGGGATCATCCTTTGATGCCTAGGGTGAGGACATTCTTGCCGATAAGGATTCCAGATTTGTATAAGTTAACCAAGTGACCCGACTCCTACATCCTCTCAATTCTCAAATTATCGTATTCTTTGAATTCCATTTTATTTTATTTTTTCCAGCATGGGCCTAAATTTTGTGTCTTTTAGGCTTGGCCCATGATCTATCTATCTATATATAATTGGACGGTCCATATCAGCATATCTTTCCTTTGAGAGGAGTTATTTATCTTTTTTTTGTATTTTTTCTTATTTTCTTTTGTTTTTTAAAATATAAAACAATAATCATTACATATCTTGATTAGATTAATAGATATGCACGCTATTAAAATGGGACATTTAGGTTTTCTAAGGCCTATTATTTTAATACATGTTATTATTTCATTTAAAAAAGACATTTAAGAGAGAGAGACCTTTGGGTTTTCCAAAGCCTAGAAAGAGAGAATAGTAATGATATAAATAGGTTGAGTTTAAACAATCAAAAATTTATTAATTTAAAAATCCACTAAACTTTCACTATAAATAAATATTAATAAAACTTAGTAAATATTAAAACTATTATAATTGGGTATCAAACTTTAGGCTAAGCCCAAACCCAGCCCAATTATATAAATAGGTTGAGCCTAAAGTTTGATACCCAATTATAATAGTTTTATAATTAACATGGGCCTCTTTATCAATAGAAAATGTGCAAGCCTAAGCCCAAGCCTAGCCCGACCATCGGGCCTAGATCTTGAACTAAAGCCCAACCCTTATATAGAGCCTGAATCTCAAGCCCGATATATAGACAAAATGTCTTATTTTCAATATACTCTTGTAAACTAATATTATATTAATTCAGTAATAATTTAATAAATTAATAAACTGATTTATATTTCCTAATAGCAAATTGATATTTATTAATAATTTAAGAAGCATATATATATTATATTTAATATATATAACATAAGTATTTTTTTTATATATGTAATAATATTGGGTTGGGCTACCCGACCCATGAATATGCCTAATGTATATATAAACAATTGTATACATAAAAAAACATATGAAAGAAAAATTTAAGCATCTTTTTCATTTTTTTTAAATGGATCTCTCATAACTTGGCATGGTCTGTGGCCTGGCATGGCCCGAGACACCCAGTGGGCCAACACGGCACACAACCTGCACTTTGTGCGGGTTGCATGTGGGTCATGCCATGCTGGCCCAACACAATCCAATTTACACTTTTTACTTGAACTTGCCTAATACTAGGAACGATGCGGGAAAATTTAAGGATTCCTCATCCTTGATGAGGAGTGAGGTGCCTTGCCCCTGAACTCGTCGGAGTGGTTGCCTTGCCCTGAACCTGCCTGACACTGGGGACGGGGTGGGGATGGGATTGAGTGCCTTGACTATTGGGGCAGAGACAGGGATGGGGTGCCCTACCTTGAACCCACCCTGTTGTCATTTCTATATAATTGTTAATTATTAGTGAAATTAATAAAAATATTAGGTTTTATAATTATTTTTATTTATTTAAAGTTAATCAAAATTTCATTTAAAAATAATAACAATTATTAAAATCACTACAAATTACTAATAAAACTAAATTTATTGAAAAATATTTGTTCTTATTAAATTAACAATAATTATTTTATGTAAATCAACATTACATGAAAATTACAATTATTAAAATTTTAGATATTAACAATAACTTTGAATACTTTTAGGTAATTAACAACAAATTTTAATTATTAATTAAATAATAAATAAAATTATTAAATATTTCATATTTTTTCGTGCATCGCACGGGTCCGCGTTAGTCACTTACTACTGGTGGCCTTTCTATCCTATTTGACACCAATCCGACGGTTAAAGACTAATGTCCACACACGTGATCCTCGCACACAAATATGACGGGCCCAATCCAAAAAAAAAAGGAAAAAAAATTCTCGACCTTTTTTTCTCTTAAGCAATAAGGGGCAGCCATGGTCACTCCTCTGCTCTCCTCCCTGCAACCCCTCAGTCCTCAAACCCTAGCCTTTTCTTTTTCAGAATAACATCACCTCTGCGACCCAATCAAAGGCAATATTTTTTATCTCAAGAAGTTTTAATGGAAGAGAATATACTACCTTTAGCATATATTAAGCCCTCGAAACCCTAGCATCGCTTCCTCATCAATGGACGCCCGTCGAGCTTCGAGAATGGTGATCGATCCCAAAGTGCGTCAGGTCGGCTTCGTAACCCCTGGGGCGCCACCTGAACGGACACAGCCCGGCCAGGTCGAGTCCTTGTCGCCGCCTATATCTGACATGTCGCCGGCCGGGAACTCCCTTTCTCCTGTCATGATTCCTCCTGCCCGTCACGCCTCCGATAACCTCTCATCTTCATTGGCTCTTAGTTCATCTCGCGCGCTTCCCGTTGCAGTCCCTATGTCTCCAATCCGGAGGCCTTCAATAGGTGACAACCTCAACATTCCACTTGGGAGCTACAATCCTTCGGAATCGCTGCTGGGGACCTCTCCTTCACCTTCCAGTAAGTTTAATGATGGTGAATTCTCCGAGGATCTGTCGACCTCGGGCTGGTATGTTAGGGGAAATCCTGGTAAAGTTGCCTCATCTTTTCCGAGTGGTGGATTCGATACCACGGCAATGAAATCGAGTAATATTACAGGGATGAACAATTTGACAACCGTTTCCACGGTGAAAATGCCGTTCGGGGTGTCTGGTATGCAAGAGCTTTTTGTTTTCTATTTGATTTTTTTTTCCTGGGTATATTTATATTTTCTTGGAAGAAGTTAGTACCAGTAGTTGCACTGGTTCTAATTGAGGAATTAAGCTAAGGAGAAAAGCTTGTTTTGACAAGTGCTGTGATTGTGCTTTCTGTACAATGATATGAAAATGTCTAATCAACTATTTCAAGTCAATAACCAACACATGCAGGGTCTTTTTATTCAGTAATTTACTAGCATTTAGAGCATCTCCTTATATCAACGGTTCAGCATTGTTGAATTTTTAGTGCTTGGTAAATTGAGTTCCTTTAATGAATTAAAATTGAAATGCTTGTTCTAGCATCAGTAATATCTTACAGTAACTGGTGTAGGGTTAAATCATCAACTACAACCTAAAGCTTATGTTGGTTTGGATGGAATGAAAATGTCCCGATGGAATTAGTCCCCCACTCCACTTGGACAAGGTTCGATTTTCTTGGGCTAACAAAGTAACAGAAGAATTTGGAAATTTGTGACATCCAGCACTAGACTCCATATGGATATGGAACTGTTGGAACACTAACAAAAAGTGCACCAAACATGGATTTAAAGATGCTCTTGAAAACACTACAGAAGTTTTTTTTTTGGTGTGTGTGTGTGTGTGTTTTACAGTCTCATACACATTGTGGCACTAAAGGCACACACATGTATATGTGCATCTATGCATTTGGTCTCATTTTGTATGATTAACTTTGGTATGTACTAAAATATGTGGGAAAATGGTATTGCAGAAAAAAGTGGAACAATGGATGTACAAAATGAGCCGATGGGAGGTTCAAAACCATTGAAGGAGAAAACATCAAAAGCTGAAAGGCGTGCCCTTCAAGAGTCTCAACGAGCTGCAAAAGCTGCTGCAAAAGGTGACCTGGTTGCATATATTGTGTGAATGTTTTGTTTGATATTGTAGACTATCTCTATAATTATGGGGTTCCTTAGATTTTTTATTTATATTTAGTTTTATTTGAAAATATAGTTTTTATTAGAAGATAAGAATTACACCTAGGCATGCATATTGCATGATATAATACAACACAATATATATATATATATATATATATATGTGTGTGTGTGTGTGTGTGTGTGTGTGTGTGGTACAGGCCATGCCTTCAGGCTTAGGATTTTGGAAGTGTTTTGCCCAAATTGAAAATTGTCCATAATTTAGTCTACCAGGCCATCTTACAGGGGGATGGAAAAGCTTGCTCCAAATTGCAGAACCAGACTCTGTGTGTTAGTAAATGGGATATGCCATCTTGAAATATAGGACCTTCATTCTCATATGCAATCCGAATTCTGACCACTGAAGAAGTATCATGTTACCTCGGTGTAGGCATAAAAGCAAATAGCATTTATAGGATCTTTTGCATTAAGAAGGTTATTACTACCCCTTATTTTCCCCCACATGTTTTGCAACTGAACTGAGTAAACACAACACAAGAACTGCTGTGCTTTAGACGTAAAGAAGGAAGGCTAAGACACACCCATTTTAGCTAAAACGTTAGCATCATCATCTGCAACTGATATAGAAAGTGACTATGCCATGTAGTGATTTTACTGCAGAAATGTCAAAATTTACTCAAAATGTTTTCAAGCTTCTAGAGGTCATCTGGAATGTTTAATCTCCAACTAGTGGTTTTCTTAGAGTTATCTTCAGTTATTAAAAGGTTAGTAAAATTTACAAGATAAGACAGCTTTTACCTTTGTCATATTGGGTTTTTTTAATTAGGGATACAACTTGCATGCATAATTTTAAATAAAAAAGTATTTTTTGTAATGACTTGAACTTGTTTCCTTTTGCAATTACAAAACCCTTCAACCATTTTCCAATCTTTTCCCATGTTGTTAACCTTCAAAATTTTTAATATATATGCTAACTAATATACACAAAAAGTAATCTGATTGGATGCCTGGTTCTCAACCCTAATTCATACCCAGCCTTAGATCAGTTTAATATTTCTCAAGGACCATAACAAAATCCAAATTAGATGGATCTCCCTATAACACAACATATCCTCAAAAGGTGCATATAATGTGTCATTTGGATGTATGTTATGAGACCCCTGGAAGTTATTGACCATTATGTTTTCGTGACATTATAGCTCAGTTTCTTGATGTTATATGTAGCAATCAGGAGGTCATGTGCTAGTCACATTTACTCAATATCCACTAAAGAGGGTATTGATAAAAAAAATATCCACCAAAGAGGGACAAAATGGATGTTGGTTTCACTGTCATACTTGACATCTTCCGTGGCTAGAAGGCCATTGGAGTTATCAACTTGGAGAGCAGGGGCATAACCTCACTGCACGCTGCTAAGCTGCCACAAGGGTCTAACATCCATTGCCAACACTATTAGCATGCTGCCCTCCCTTCTCCACCACTCTCCTCTCTCATAGATAAATTGTTCATGTCTTGCTTATATAAAGTTCACACCATATTTTAGATTGTCTGCTTATGTATAGTCTAACCAGTATGTGCATTTCTGTCATGATTGGTGATTATAGCTGAGGGAAGTAAGGCTGCTCCAGCTTCTGGAGGTGCAACTTCAGCAAATGCAAAACCAGCTAAAGCTGTGAAGGCTCCACAAAAGAAAGATAATGCTTCAGTAGCAACTTCTGATAAGAAGGGTGGTGATCGCCCACCTGAAAAAGATAGAAAGAAAGATGCTCCTCATCCACGCATGCAATTTGATGATATGCAACGGGTTGAAAAGGCTAAAAGGCGTTCAGTAGTCAAGCAGGCTGAAGCTAAAAATAGAGTTGAACTATTTAGACATTTGCCCCAGTATGAACATGGAACTCAGCTTCCTAATCTTGAGTCAAAGTTTTTTCAACTTGAGCCGATGCATCCTTCTGTTTACAAGGTACTGCCATACTGGTACTTTTTTATTAATTAATGAACACCTCAACATTCATAAGGCCTGCAAAGTCATTATGAGTTTATTTTATTTTCTGGATTTTCCTCTTCCTTGGGTTTTATTTTTGTTACTCTCTCCTTCGTTTCCCTCCAAAAAATAAATCATCATTATCCAAGCCTTGTTCCATCTATATGGAGTCGGCTACATGAATCCTGTTTCACAAATACATTCTGTTTTATGCCATATACATTGTTAAATTATTAATGCTTAAATCAAGTCTTACTACATCCCAAATAAGGAGGTATCCTTTGTACTTCAGCATCATGAAATGAGTGAATGACATTGTAAAGCATAGATCTGTGTATCCATATATTCTGAAAGAACCACAATAAGATGCAGTGGTTTTATTGTCTTAGTTCCTTATTATGATATGAGTGACACTCAACATTTATGATTTACTATTTATATTATCTAAAGTGCTGCTTTTCAATTATTATCAGGTTGGATTGCGATATTTGGCAGGAGATATATATGGTGGTAATGCACGTTGCATTGCAATGCTTCGGGCTTTCAAGGAGGCCATTAATGATTACAGAACTCCACCAGAAAAAGCTCTTGTTAGAGATCTAACTGCAAAAATTAGCAGTTATGTTTCCTTTCTGATTGAATGTAGGCCCCTTTCAATCAGCATGGGATATGCAATTAGATTCTTAAAGAACCGAATTGCGAAATTACCTTTAACATTTTCTGAGTCAGAAGCAAAAGCAACTCTTTGTTCAGATATAGATCGCTTTATAAATGAGAAGATAATACTTGCAGACAAAGCAATAGTCAAGCATGCTGTAACAAAGATTAGGGATGGAGATGTACTTCTCACATATGGCTCATCTTGTGTCGTGGAAATGGTACTTTTGTATGCTCATGAGCTAGGAAAACGTTTCCGTGTTGTGGTAGTAGACTCACGCCCAAAGCTTGAAGGGAAAGCCTTACTACGACGGTTGGTTGCTAAGGGCCTCAGCTGTACATATACACATATAAATGCCATCTCTTATATCATGCATGAAGTAACATTGGTTTTTCTTGGGGCTTCATCAGTTTTCTGTAACGGAACAGTTTATTCAAGGGTTGGAACTGCATGTGTAGCCATGGTTGCTCATGCATTCCATGTTCCGGTCTTAATATGCTGTGAAGCATACAAGTTTCATGAAAGGGTGCAGCTGGACTCAATTTGCTCTAATGAACTTGGTATTTCCCTAAACTGGTTGATGTTTGTAGTCACTTGTGTCATTTAGTTCCAAGTGTCATCATGTTCTTTTGTGTGCTTATCTTCTGTATCCACTTTGCAGGCGATCCTGATGCTATTTCAAAGGTTCCCGGAAGAAAAGATGTCAATCATTTGGAGAATTGGACTAATAATGAAAATTTGCAACTTCTGAATCTTATGTAAGCATTGAAAATCTAAATAATAGTAGGATGACACTCATCAGGCTTACATGCTTTTTCTTGGTGCAACTGCTATATCAAGCTCTAATTTTTGGTTAAATGCTGTAACAGGTATGATGCAACACCTTCAGATTATGTGTCCATGATTGTCACAGATTATGGCATGGTGAGTATATTTGATTTTAAAGTTGTAGTTTCTAGGCCTCTTTCTTTTCTGGGAATGTGTCAAAGATACATGCTCATGTTGTACCTTTTTTTCCTATATTTTCTGAGCGGTGTCTATTCTTCTTCTTTGCTGATGTTCATGATGCACAATCATGAGCACAAGTTCCAAGCTTTGTCTTGGAACATAGTTGTAGGATGCACACACATAATGCGGGAATTCTATTTTCAGTCTTTGAGGCAAAAGATGGATGGATATACTTGTATGAACCTTAAACAATAGAATAGGGCATATAATAGTTGGTGACATGAGTTTTCTGTAAATAAAACAAACTTATTCCCTATGAACTTTAGATGCTACACTTACATGGACCTCTTACATCACTTTCAAGTGACTCTTTAGTAGCTGTTGGCTACATTGCTTCAAGTGTGTGCTCTTTCGGAACATTGGAATTCATGGTGGACCATTCCGGGAGCATGCTAAAATATGTTTTAGTTCTTAGCTTGGTAGGATCTTATGCTAATTTCAGAGTTTTACTTTGGTTTAGTTCATTTAATGCATCTGAATTTTAACGGGTTGCAAATAATGGCATCATGGAAATTAAGGGGCCGTTTGATAATGGCTGAAGTTGCTGGACTGCATGACTTGTTACTTTGTCTTTTAGTGGATAAAATGATCAAATAATAAAATATTCAAGGCTATAATTATCTATACAACTTTCAGCTTTGGCAATTAAGGAGCCTACAACCTCCTTAAAAACTTATTCACTAAAAGACAAAGCAATAAACTTTCCAGTTCAGTTACTTTAGCTGTTATCAAACAGCCCCTAAGAATGAAGTCATCTGAAAGCACCTTCATGCATAATCTTTTTTTTTTTTTTCTTTTTTTGATAAACAACCGTCCTTCACAAATAAGGCAAGACAAAAGGGGGAAGTATGGAACTGTTGCTGAAAAATCTATGAAGCCTCAAAAAATTGATGCTTGTTTGGAGTGCCCATGCAGAAGAGTATATGTAATGTTGGGTGCTGTTACTCTTTGAAAGGCATGGTTAGTTCATTGCAACGGAGGAGGCAAATAATGTCCTTGGAGTTCTTTGATTCCTATTTCTTTATTATTTTCTTTAATATTTAATAATTAGTTATTTTGAGGAAACAATTGTTGATTTAGTTACTGATGCTTTTTCTCTTGCTTTGCTTCTTGCAGGTTCCTCCCACAAGCGTGCCAGTCATTGTACGGGAATACCGAAGAGAACACCTATGGATGTAGTAGCTCTCACTTGGTCCGTTCGATTATTGAATCATGAAATACTTTGCACTCTTCTGTTTCCATACGAAAATTTCTCTACTGGCCTGGGATCATGTGGTTGGGATAATAAGACTTCTGTGAGCCATGTCATTTAGGTCCTTTCTTCCTTCTCCCTTTTGGAATAATTTTTCATGCCTCGTCGGATTTTCTAGTGATTTCAGTTTTTTCCTGGCTTTCTTAAGCTGACTCTGTGAAGAGTGCGATTTCTTCGTCTCTCCAGGCAGTTTTTTTTGGATGTGTTTCTGTTGTAATGAGTTCATTTAACTAATTTTCCCCTCGTAATTTTTCTTATAGCATACCATTCGTATACAGATTATCTAGAATGAAGAATTACAGGCGTGACTCCTGTATGTGTATGGTTGTGACATGGTTTTAAACTTTTAATATTTGGCAGTTTCAGGATATATCAAGAAATTCTTATTTGGCATGGGTAACCTGAAGTGTAGCTTTTGATCATTTTGTATGGAGTTTTAGTTTCATTACTCGTTTTACTCTGCTTTAAATCTCATTTTTTTTCTCTTCAAATCTAGTTTTGCGGTAAATGTTCTTAGTTCTTACTGCCTAATCACTCGTAGAGGTGGCAAATGGGGGTGGGTGAGGATTGAGTATCGACCCACCCACACTGACCCTCTGACCCATTTGCCACCCTATTTATTGGGTCTTGGTGGGTCACGATCCTCCTTTGACCTGCTAATCCAAGACAAATATTATGAAAATAAGAATATTTTAGTCTAACAAAAATATAAATATTAAGAAAATTATTTAAAAATACCAATATTAATAAAAAACATAAATCACAAAAATAATAAAAAACACAAAATTGATATAAATTTGCAAGAAAAAAAGGAAAATGATAAAATTTAAAAAAACATATATATTTTTAAAAAGTATAATTAGCATAAAATACCTAAATTGACAAAAATTCAAAATAATTATATATTTCAACCCAAAACCTGTGGAAAAATAAAAAAGTTAAAAAATATTTTCCAAATAAGAAAATAAAAATGTATAAAAAATATAGAAAAACAGAAAAGCATAGAAAATTATACAAGAAAATTGTCGAAAATTACAAAAAACAAGAAATAACATAAATTATAAGAAAATACAGAAATTACAGAAAAAAAACCAGAGAGGTCTATGTTTTGCAATGATGGAAACTGTGTTCTGCAATGGTGGAAAGATCAGAGAGATCCATTGCAAGTGCGGAAAGGTTTGGGAGAATACAGATATGGGTCCGCACCAGATCTTGAACTTCCGTCTTCGGCTGCCGCTGCAATTGCGTAAAAAAACAAAATATCCCCTGGCCATGTCTGTAATGTCGCTGCAATTTCTCTGGTCCTGTTGTATGTTCTACAATGGCGGAAAGATAGAAGACCAAAATCTATTCCGTCTTCCATTAGAGGTGAAGAAGAAAATTGCAAGTACCAGTGCAGCGATTTTTAACCTTGGTTGTCAATCGTCGGTAGAGGCTGCATCTCCCTATTCTCCCTTTCGTCTGTGTTGAAGAAAGACCGACTGTCATAGAGCTATTCGATCCTCAATTCTGTCAATTGTCGGCCGCCGCTTCCGTTGGTGGTGAAGAAATACACGACCGTCATAGAGCTATTTGATCCTCAGTTTTGTCCATCGCCGGCCGCTGCTTATCTCCTACTTCCGGTCAGTGGTGTAGAAGAAAAACTCAACTCATGGAGGTATTCGAACCTCAGTCCGCCAGTCGTCCGTCGCCGCTAATCTCCTTACTCACTCCTTCCAGTCAGTGGTGAAGAAGAAAAATTCAACTCATGGTGGTGTTGGAATCTCAGTCTGCCAGTCGCTGGCCACCATTGCGTCTCCTTAGTCCTTATTCTTTCTCATCCTTCGATTATCAAACCCTAAACCCACTCTTCAATCAACTTATGACCCCAACCCCACCCTGACCCTTTCCTCCTGATCCTAATGGGTCATTTGACCCATATTGACCCATGTAAGAGATGGGTGAGTTATTAGCGATTCAGCGGGTGGATCAGATGGGTTGGGGTCAAAATTGCCAGCCCTACTAATAAGTTGAGGCAAATGTATGAAACAACCCTGCAAAGAGAGATGAAAAGCTAAATGATCACAAGAAAAGTAGAAAACTAAGAGACTGTTTGTTAAGTCAAAATAGATATTTTGGCAGCCGAGCTGTTCAAAAGACATCCTGAGCTTCTGGAGTCTTGTCTTTAAAGATCAAGACAAGCCTTGGATGATGATGATGAAAGCTGGTTCATTTTAGGAACTAGGATTTCACACTTGACAAGCATAAAAATGTGGGTAGGGGTGTCAATTGGACCGGATTTGGTCCAATCTGATCAAGTCTAATATGAGTCCATTACAGATGGATTAAGTCCAATCTGATCAAGTCTAATATGAGTCCGTTACAGATGGATCAAGTCCAATCTGATCCGATGAATATTATGGACAATTGTGGACCAGTCAGTTCAATGTCTTGACCATCCAATATGTTCAAATTGGTTTTAATTTGTCATTGTCTTATTCATCCGTCCAAATTGATTTTGATTTGAATGGAGTCCAATCCAAAACCCGTCCTCTTGTTTTTTGGTAAACTCCTACTTCATTAAAACAAAATAGAGGGTCCAATCCAAAACCGGTCTATTGACACCCTAAATGTGGGTTCTAGTCTAATAGCCACTTTGTGCGGACAAATGTTAGGTGCGTATCCGGGCCACCCTTCCCAAAGTACATGTTTGGTTGTTCCTTCTTTTCTCATAGAATGCTGCCAAGAACTAATGTCATGGCATGCAGGTTAATCTCGACAGAGGAACTTTGCTTAGATGACATTTTCGCCATACCTTCTTTTCACAGTTTATGGTGATAGAACTTCTGCAAATTCAGCTTCTTCAAACCCCAAGGTTCATTCTAGTAGAGAATAGTCTTTCTTTGGATGGAGGTATAACGATTGCGAATATGTCAACCTTGCAAACTCACAATGTGTCAGGATGACCCATTCCAGTGCTCGTGGAGGTGATGAGGAATATGTCAAACACAAGTCCTATCTTGGAAAAACCTAGCCAGTTGAATGTGTCTTGATGATCCTAATGTTTTCCCACAAGTATTCCAAATGGAGAATTATTCTTTGTTAATCATCCTTTCCTTTAGTCCTTTCCCACGAGAACCAAACAGGAAACGGATGAGGTTTATTTGGCCTTCAAGTAGATTAGATGTCATCTTCCTTTAAAGATTGCATGCTAGATATTCATGGAAATGTGTGGAAGATTTTGCTCTCCCTCTCCCTGTGGCTACTACCAGGGTATTGGGATAACAAACAGTAAAACTGCCAATCCATGGAACTTATTCCATACTAATCTCTTTTGCAATCGCTGATTGAAAAAAATAAATAAATAAATAACACTTTTCTGCAGTCGTAACTTCCGATGATAGATCGCAACGGGAATATCTAATCTTCTTACTATGGGTTAGGGCTGCAATTGAACTGAGTTCTAATCGTATAATTCAATCTCGAGTCCAATTAGGCTCGACTCGAGTTTGATTTTAATGAAGTTTGAATTTTGAGATAAGTTCGATTAATTATCCAAACTCAAGCTTCGCCAATAAAAAGTTTAGCTCGAAAGCTCGCGAGCTTAATTCAATTAACATATATTATAGAATATAAAGGTATAATTTATAATATATTTTTGTATTCCATCTATAATATATGAATATACTATATATTATAAAAAATATATTATATGTATTTATAAAATATAAAATATATTCATTTTTGAGCTTTCGAGTCAAAATCAAATTCATCGAATATTTAATCAAACCGAACTTAATAGAATTCAAATCGAACTTGAGCCTTGCAGTATTTTAGTCAAATCCGAGTGAAGACATGCAAAAATTCAACTCAGTTTAACACAGTGGCACTGCTACAGTGCTTGGGGCTGAGAAATAAAGGGATGCTTATCCTCGTAGAATATCTCGTCTCTTAAATTTCATGTAGGAGTTTTTAGTTTTTCTTTCTACTAAGATGAATATTGATTTTGGGCAGACAAAACAGAAACCAGTGAAACTTGATACCAACTTAAGATGAATTACTGCCACATTTGTAAGAACTTTGCTGGCATGACTAGAAGAAGTTATTCACAGGAATAATTAGGGTCAGTAAACTCGGTACTTCATTCAAAGACCCAAGTGGCAACACTGGAAATTTTAACTCAGGACTGAGCAAAATGAGTGTCCTTGAGCATTTTGAAGAAGAGGTCATTTCAGTTGTAATGGAGGATATTTTTAAAAAGTGCTTTGGAGTTCAAGGTAGATGGAAAAATGGAACTAGTTTTTAGGTTGCTTTTTTGTATTATTTTGCTACATTGGCAGCTGTTGTTTTTCTAGTGTTGTTAGACTTGGATTGGACCAGACAATTGAATCAGTACGTTTTCCAGGCATCCTATTTAGATGGTTTTTACTGGCTGAACAATCTCACTACTGGTTAAACTGGTAAAACCATGAACAGGTGAGCTTTCCAGTTCTAACAACACTGCTTCTTCTAGGTCTTCAACAAGGTGGTACTACAAATCTTACAAAGCTCCAAAAGTAAGGCAAAATAAAATGGTTTTGAGTGATTTAATCATAATAATTTTGGGTGCAGACAAATGGGACACATTTGATTATAGGACCCATTTTCCCGGATAGCAATGTATGGCAAGTAATCAGACAGATCACAACCACGGGTCCTGCAGCCCCTATAGCCAACACAATCTTTTAAGTATTTTTCTTCTACCTTGTTAGGCAGAAAAGTATAAACACAACTGGGGCATGTTTGATTTAACTCTCTGAGAAATAAATGAACATCTTTCATCCAATGTATGAAGACAAGCAGGGTTCACTCCTGAAAATTCTCTCTTTTCGTTTGAAAAGAATAAAAACAAAATGTGTTTACGGTCTCTGGGGAAAACCCCCAACTGATTTGCGTTTGTCTTCTATATTTTCATACACTGGATCTGGATGAACCCTGATCGTGTGGACCATTAGTAGAAATTATCCTGTACTTGAGCTTAATATCCTTCATGTACTGGAATTCCCAATCCATCAAACTACAGACCCCAGAGCCTATTTTGGTACTCCCTACCTACTCAAAAGACCTTGAGGCTATGTTTGGTTTGGTTTGAAGAAAAAGGTAGGGAAAGGAAGGGAAAGACAAAGAAATACCTTTCCCTTCAAACCAAACACAGCCTGAGGGCATGCTAAGTACTTTATTAAACCATCAACCAACACTGGCTTCAGTTCATCACGTCCAAAGGAAGTTTTGAGCCACCCTATACTTCTGGCTTGAGTATGGCATCATGGACTTTGAGGAATCAATCTCTTAAGCTTTTACAGAGTTTCCTGTACGTTTTATAAAACATGCTAAATATATCCTAGAGAAAGAAATGTAATTTTGTTTTCTTTTTGGTTCTGGGGAAGCAGGAATAAACCAATGAACTCTGGGAATTTATACAAGCAACCATCACTCCAGGCATCAGTGAATAAAATGGCACAATTTTATATGACACACAACTGACAGATTTCTCTCTTTCTTTCTCTCAACCTTGAGAATGATCAGGCTTATGAAGACAAACATTTGGTATCTGAGTACATGAGTTTAGTAGGAGTTTGATACTTTGGAGAAACAGCTGCCAATATTACAACACCACTAAGCAAAGCCAACCCCAGTCCCAAACTATTGACCACCATCGACTCCAGTGAGTGTTTCAATACATTCCTCCTTGTTTGTAAGAACGTCAGCTTCTCTAGTAGACCTGTTTCAGCTGTCGCCACAGCCAATCCATAGGTGTAGAGACCAAGAAAGATGTGCCATGGCAAGACTCTTAGCCTTACTGTTCGCACCTCCCCACGATGCCAAAAGCTCAAAAACCCCATCAGCCACTGCATACATAGAAATAATAACGTTAAGCTAATGTTAAATTGTCCAACTGTTTGAATCACTCTCAGTATCCACAGACCACAAAATTACTTCTGATGTCTGCTTTTCCCAGTGATTCATTCTATTCTATGTACCATGAATATTAATGTGGCTAAATTTACATTCAGTCTACCCTCAGTTAATGGTACTATTGGATTCCAGTGCTGCTCCACTATTGCCTGCTTCATAAGGTTATTGGACTTCAAGTACTAGTTTCAGGTTTGGCCCATTTTCAGTTCAGTGTTCAGTGTGAAAGAAAGCAAAGGGGGGGAGGCCCATGCTGGATGCTACTGTACAAGATTAATTGAATACTTGGGGAGCCTGAGTGGGGCTCAAAGAGGCAGTGAGTTGCAGTGATGCAATTGTCTTTCTCCCGGTTCAGTGAGAAGATGTGGGAGCCACAGTTTCATCAGAAATCAACTTCAACCACCGTATTAGGACATTCACTGTAACACCCTATCATACACCATTCCGAAGAAGACAAAATACCGACGATCTGGTTTCTTTTTCGTGACAAGGGGAGAAGGAGAACCAACCTGAGCTCCGAACAAGAACATACAGATGAGTCCCATCCATGAATGCAGACTGTAGAAATTTTCCACAATCCCCTTTTCCCCATGAAACTTGGTCCAGATTCCGAAAACCCCAGAAGCCACAGCCACTCCTTGCAGGCACAGATGCACCGATTTCTTCAAATTTCTTGAACCTGGCAACCATCGGTGCACTAGAATGGCTGAAACACAAACAATTGAAACAATCAAAATCCTCAACTTTTTTCCTTTTTTGGGTTGAGAAAAGAATCACTAATGGGTTCATCCCCTTTGTCTGGGTTTCACTTACTACCTTCTCCACTGATGATTATGAGACCTATCACCATTAAAAGAGGATGAAGGACCTGTAGAAATGTTCCAAAGGAAACCATCTTTTAGCTGGAGAAGAAAAACACATCTGTTTTGGGTTTTGTGCAAAACGAAAAAGGGGGGGGGGGAATGCATGGAAATAGAAAGCGTGTTAATGTGCATGTGTGCTTACAGCATAAATGGGATCTTCTTGAGAGGAAGAGTGAGGAAGGAAGCTTGTCTTGAAGCGAAGCGCCCATATCAGAACGAGAACTGCAACCACCAGACCTGAGATTCTAGCACATACAAGGAGAGGGAACAGAGAAGAAGACACAGCAGCCATGGCTGGATGGCCTCACTGACTTAGGAGTGAACAACTGAACTGTCTGAACTCTATAGTGAAGAAGAGAATGAGTAAAACAGAGCCGAAAAGAATCTTTGGATCTAATAATAGGTATAACTGAGTGGGTAGGTAACAAGTGGCACTGATGTCATAAATACAGCTCGACGGGCCTTTCTTTTCACAATTTGTTTGTCCATCTCGAGGTGTCTTTTTCTCAACCCTTCTGATTGCCAAAGCCCTTCTTTTACCGTTACCAGCTTACCGAAGTTTACCCGGCGACCGACAGGGTACGTACGGAGGGAGGCTTTTAAAAAGGTTCTAACGTGCACCGTAGGAGCACTGGACTGAAAATCATGAAAGACATTTTACTTCTGTATTATTGGATATCCTCGCATTCTGGGCTTGCGAGGTAATTAGTGCCCGTCTATTTACATATAAATTATGGACCGTTTGCATTTATCTGCGCCGCTGATCGATGCCACCCTGCGCGTCAAACGGAAGTGAAAAGATGGTAATTACTTTTCTACAGCTCTACCCCGACCCGCCACCCTTCTTTTTTTAAGGGCAACTGGGCAAATTTCTTTCTTACCGTCAGTATTCGTAGAGAAATTGAACTTGATGCAGCTTCTATGGTATGTAAGAAGTAAAAGAGAGAAATTTACTAGTAAGTGCTTAATTACGAAAACTTACTGTCACCACACTGGGTTCTCGGGCGCGCTTGATTACAGAAACTTCACCGTCACCATTACTGGGTTCTCAGGCACGCTTGAAACTTCACCGTCACCGCACTGGGTTATCCAAAGCGCTTGAAACTTCGCCGTCACCGCACTGGGTTTTCGAGCGCGCTTGATTACGGAAACTTCACCGTCACTGCATTGGGTTCCAAAATTTCAAGTTTCTATTGACACCTTCATCGTCACTCTCTGACAGTTTGTCTGCCCATCGATCATTGGGTCACTATAATGGGTAAGGGAGAACCCTCGGTTGTCGTACGGTGGTGGCTCATCGTTCCCAAACCCACCACCCCGTTTTCATGGCCAGAATGGAGTTATGGGGCAAATTATCACTGCCGCTGGTTAAGGACCGAGTGAGCTCGGCTTACCGCTGCTGAAAGGAAGATAGTGAAAGGAGGAAAAGAAGAAAGAGGGAGGAGAGGGAGAGGGAGAGGGAGAGGGAGAGGGAAAAGGGTAAAATTGGATTTTAAAAAATATTTATACGCACATAGTGTTATGTGCATACGGGTTTTAAGAGAATATTAATGGTAGGACCGTAGGAGAGAGTTAGTAGGGATAGAGTTAGTGCCCTTTTTTTATCCGATTTGTTTATTTAATTTGTTTAATAGAAAGAGAACAAAGTGGAAACAGAGTAGAGTATTGGGCCCACAAGAATGGAAACTCCCTCCCCTTGTTTGGCACGCAATATCAAACAAACTATTTTCGGGTAACCTTCAATGATTCTGATTTAAGTGTGTTTTGTATCATTGAAGGCGAAAGCGACAGAGAGAGAGAGAGAGATGATTTATTAATGGGCTTGGGCTGTTGGCCCATTTTCCATTCAAATGGGTTTCGTACCTGCTGCCCACTTGGATGAAAGGTTCTGGCAAACAAACAAATATAAGAATAAGATACACTTTCTTTGCCCAACGGCAAATCTTAACAAATATCCATATTATGCCCATATACAGGCACATAATAAAAACACTTCACTTGGAAGTTTCAGTCTATAACTAGTCTCTCAATGGATTACTTCCTGGTTAGCCTTTCCAGTGTTGTCATCTAATCTGTACATCAGAGTTCTACTCCTACATACAACAAAGCGAAGGGAAGAGATAAAACTTCTTCCCGTCTTCCTTTTCTACATGAGTGAGAAACATAAATTACATATATCAGATCAGCAGCTGAGAATATGAAGCATGATCATGATCATCACCAACCAACTCCACTGGGTCCATATCTTCCCCTTCCTGGTAGACTTGTATGTCATATCTCCCTATTCATTCCTGATTCTTCCACACATTCTCCCATCTTTATTTCCTTTTTATCTCTTACTTTGGTTTCTTGTCAAACCCTGTAGAGCCATTATCAGTGATTGCAGTAGCAGATTCCATCAGCTTCTCATAGTCAACCTCAGCTGACTGATACTTCAACTTGAATCCACTCTGGATCCATGATCGTATGCAGAGGAGGGATTGCATGTTGCCATGGGGTAAACAGAACTTTTGTTTGTCGACTTCATCACCTTTTCTGCAGAACAGCTCATCAGGTGCCACAGAGGTTGCCTGAACAGCCAGGAAATCTCGAGCCATCACAGAAAGCCGTGGGTATCTTGTGCTGTTTGCCTTCCACCACTCTAAAACATCTGTAGGAATGGGAGCAGGAGGTTCGGAGAGATACTGGGTGAGTTCATCTGTGGCTGTGCTCATGCTCACCCTGCGCCTCTTACGAGCAATCTCCTCTGCAAAAGAGACACTACCTCCATCTTCACTATCCTGAGCAGTGTAGCCATTGGCCATGGCAGGGAAATGACTGGTAGAGTAATTTCTCATAAAATGGTTCCTTGCTTCTTCAAGGTTGTTCTCTGAATTTAAACTCTCAGGGATAAGGTCACTCTTGATCCTGGGATCAAGGATTGCAGCCATATATGTGAAAACATTATAGACCTGACCATTGTAACTCCGGGACTTCTTCGCCATGTCCTCAGCCGTACTCTTGAGCCAGTCAGGATTATGACGGGAGTCCCTACAGGCGGCAATCATCTCAGAAACATGGTCCATGAAGAAGAGAACCAGCCCAATAGTGAGGACTTTGCTTGTGCAGATGTTATTTGTGGTCTTGTAGAATGGCTCTAGGTATGCATGCATGATATTGATAGCATTCTTCTCTGCAGGGCTCAGCAGCATATTCCTATTCCCAAGAGTATCCTCGTGATTCCTAATAACAGCATCCATTGATTTGCTGGCCTGCATAGTATCCCAATTCCAGGTTGGTCACTAAAATACTGGAATAAACAATAATGGCCCAAAAATTAGACAGTGGTAGCAAACATGGCATAGGAGCCCATTAAGGACAAGACTAATTACCTTACGCACAATATCGAGCATCAAGTAATTTCCACTCCACCGGGTCGAAGCATCAAGAGGAAATTTCCAGGAACCTTCTTGATAAGCTGCTGTTGTTTTGTTGAACTCCTCTGAAATCTCAACGGATGCATTCATTTCTAATACAAATTCCCGGATCTTGGATATTACTGGTTTCACAGTTCTTAATCCATCCTCTATAATCAGGTTCAGTGTCCGAGCCGCACATGGGATGTAGCAGAAGGGTACTACCTTCTGACCATCCAAATGCATGGCATTCTGACTGTTATCATGTGTGCATGAGAGGATCCTGCTTTCAATATTGTACATCTTGAGTACCTTGACCAGGGATTGATATATGTTTGTGCCTCCACAGGGGTAAGGTATGTGAGAGATATCAAGAAGAATATTATGGAGGGACCAATTCTCATCAATCCAATGGGCTTTCACACTCATGTAGGAGACCTGCTCATAGGATGTCCAGAAGTCGAGTGTGATCGAGACTCTAGAATTTACTTGTTCCATATATGCTTTTACATCATCCCGCATGCTCTTAAACACCTCAAGGATAACTGCTTGGAACTTTTGACCAGTCCAAAATTTGACTGATGAATTAAGGAATTTGAAGGAGTTTGACAGCCATTCTTCCTCCAAAGTGGAGGGAGGAAGAGAACCCAGAATTAGAAATTTGAGTAGCAACCAGTTAAGATGGTCCAAGTCCACTGAGGGCGGTTTAACTTGAGATTGAGGTTTCTTTGTTACGGGGCTAGGCTGTGGTGCTGTGTTATTGACAGCATCCCCAACCCCCATCTTATCGTATCCAGGGTGACGATGATTTAGGTGCCTTCCCAGATTACCTTCACAAAGAAGAAAAATAGATAAAACACATAATGATTACTGAAGACAAACTTTTAGGTGAAACAGAGACAAAATCATAACCCCAAACGAGGACATTAGTTGTTGAGTTGGGCTTCTTTAGGAGCAGAAAAGTTCTTGCAATGGAATATTTCAGCTATATTTTCACCCTTTTACCTCTTTAATTCAAAACAAAAAGGCAGCCTTCATTTTTTCACTATGGAAATTCACTATGATGAAACATCATCTAATGCACAGAAATTACCAGTGGCAGTTGAAATAGAATAGCTTTGCTTGCAGAACTTGCATCTTCGACTCTTCCCATCAGGAGCAGTTTCAAAAAATTTGAGATACAATGATGTCATTGACTTTTTTCTGGGTTTTGCTGGAGGAGCTACATTCCCTTTCTCTGAAGAACCCAGGCCAATATCTATTGGATCAATACTTGGAATGAGGGTCATGTCCATCATGGCCTTTGGTTCCATATCTGCTCATAGTGACAAGTAGAATTATAGGGAAAGTGAACAATGTTAGATCTCTAACAGCCAGAAATCCTCACAAGAACATACACGCAACATGAAGTTGGGATTTTCTCTCTCAGTCCCCAATCAGCAGTAACACTCTATAATCATTTGACAGACAAATATAAGCCACTGGAGGCAAACCAACGCCAAAGAATGAATCAGTTGCAATATGGAAAAATACCCTAGGAGAAAATATGGCAACAAATCACTGGCTCAAGCATTACCAGTCCTCTAGAGCAAGTTAACCACCTGAGTTAGGGTAGCATGAATATATGTTGACTTAGTTCACTAAATATTGAAAGAAATAACTCCATGATAAGATAACAATTAATTTCAATGAAAACAAGAAAAGTAAATGGAAGATATAGGAGACTTTTTATTTGAAGAGCAAGAAACTCTACGATATAGCATTTATTTATCTTCTTCTGCTGTACACATATAAGGTCTAAACTCCATTAGCTTCATAAGAAAACATCCACTTTATTAGACCATGTATTATACCTCTGCTCCTAAAGGAAATGATAGTGTAAATTGACTTAAAAACAAATAAATACAAACAGTTTGTATTTTGTCAACATCCCCTTGGTTGATAGGTGCTGAACAATATGAGTCAATTATTTCCTTTTTCTTGGTATCCACATTCAATTACTCACTAGTTTTTCATGTAACATGCCCCCTTCTACAAATGGACCTTGCAGTAGCCCCACATCGAGGTGTTTTAAGGGGTGTTCAGTTTGTGGTTTTGTTCTTTATGCTATTTGTATGCTATCCATGGTTCCAGAGCTAGCAAAATGGCATTTTTTTTCACATATCTTTTATAGCTTTTTCAACTAGGAAACATGGTTCGCTGATGTAAGCTTGCCGTGCCAGTTACATGGTGTATATCACACACCAATATGGCTCCAGTCATAATGCCTCTGACTGTACGACTAAAGGTAAATAGTGAATGTCAATGTACACATGAATCATACAATCAATGCCCACATATCATGGTTCAGAAAATGAGACATGACTAGAATAACCTCTTTTGCATTGTGTTCCATTGTCATTTCAAAAAAAAAGAAAAAAGACTGTTATGGTTCTGGAACCATACTACCCTTTTTCACAACCATGAACCGAATACTACCTTAATTGTGATAGCAGTACTGCTTTTTTCAGGTTTTTTAATCAATAGAGACTACTTTTCAGTTTTATTTGTGGGCCTAGTGGGGAATTGGATACTACATTGTAGTGGGCATAGGCCTCTCAGGTACAATTTCTTCTGCATTTTTTTTGCTTTGTGGAGTTTCTATGGCTACTCTGCCATATGCTCATCGTATACTTTTCACTTCAATTTAATATAATATGTTTATTAATAACCAGACAGCAATAACAAGAAGAACAAATTCATCAGAATAAAACCCAGTATCATCTACTCAATTTTGGGATCCCTTTAGCCAACACTGCTGAATGTTTTTTGAACAGTTGGGCAAGCTATGCTGATATAATCTAAAGTTCAACGACATGTATGCTTTAATTTACACAACAATGGTTCAACAACCAGCTAGTTGAGATTCAAGATTTAATTTACACACAATGGTTCAACGACCAAAGATTTTCTAGGAATATCTTTAGTAGACACCAATGAAGCATTTCCATAATAAGCTGAGATTCAAGATCAAGTTTTTATAGGGCTACATGTTCCGGTTCTGATGCTTCACAAGTACTAGAATGGTTCTAACTTCTATGGTTTACACCTACAAGAAGGGATAAAGGTGATGATTCTAATATTAGAAAGGAATGTCCAAAGGTGTACGGTGTGGTCTTACAAAGCTGTCAAGGCAATGCCCGGGAAACTAGGCAAGTTTAGATTTTCACCTTTCTCCATTCTTTTGAAGGTTTCATAAAAGGCACTCATACAACTTCTTAAGTACTAGCCTGGGCAATAAGTTGGGCACCTAGGTGACTAATGTTGCGAAGTGGCTTACAATATTAAATTACACAATTAGGAAAATTTTAGTTTAAATAAGGAATTGGGAAAGACTACAGACAATTTAACTCAAGTTAGAGTTGGAAGTAATTTGGTTGACAATGGAGAAGAAAGAAACTCAGCAATATACACAAAATATGCAGAAGCTTACAGAGGATTTCAAAGGAGAGAGGAAGGTTGATGTTAAAGAAGAGCAAGAGCATGATGAGGAGCAGGAAACAGGAACTGACCAAGATGGAATTGAGTCTGCAAATGTGTCAGGGTTGATAAAGGTTAGCTGATGGTAATTAGTGGGAAAGAAGGTTAGGAAGGCACAAGCACTCACACTATAAAAGAAAAAAGAACCATAGAACAAAGCCCAGAAATGGTCACCCCCTCGTCGAAGGACTTCCCAAATCTTGAAAAAGGAAGAAGCAGAGTAACAATGGTTGGGGGACAGCCATTTATCTCCATCGTCCATAACTCTGGCCCGTTTGGCATTTGGAAGACAGCCTTCATATGCACCAAAACAGAGAGATTTGGAAACTCTCTCAGTGAAGCCTCAGTGAGAGAGGCAGAACCTACAGAAATAACAAATCTTGTAAACTCTCTCAGTGAAGCCTACATCTCTCCTTCAACCCCTAACCTTCGGATTTGGAAACCCAACCCAAATGGCAAGTTCACTACCAACTCCTACTTCAAGACACCACCTTCTCCGCCAAGAAGGTATGGAATACTCATATACCTCCTAGAGTTTCCTTCTTCATTTGGGAGGCCTGCCTACAGAAACTAAATACCTATGATGTGTTACAAAAGAAGTTCAGAGGCAGATGCATCTCCCCACATGTCTGCCCCCTCTGCCTCAACAATGGCGAGACAGCGGAGCACCTTTTCCCTCACTGCCCATTAGCAAGGAAAATCTGGTGTTCCTTTCTCAGTCTAGTGGGACTCAACTGGATATTCCCAAACCAAGTCATATATCTACTGCAACAATGGCACTGCAAAGGCCTTGGAAGTAGGGGCAAAATTTATTGGAGCACGGTGACCCACACAGTGTTATGGGGAGTCTGGGAAGAAAGAAACAACAGATCCTTTGACTCTAACATCCTGTCCTAGGGAGTAGAACCAGTTAACTCTAAGCTTTGATGGCAGTGCTCAAAAGTCCACAAGTCAAGCAGGAGTTGGAGGAGTAATCTGTGGGAGTGGGGGAAACATCCTTTGGGCTTTCAGTGGTCTGATTGGGAGAGCTGATGCCACCAAGGCAGAGATATTAGCTGACCTCACAGGTCTTTGTTTCATCAAAATGTTAGGCCTTTCCTCTTTATCAATCGAGGGCGACTCAGCTAACACAATAAACTGGTTAAGGCAGAGGACTGGAGGCCATTGGAGGTTTGCTCATCTGCTGGCTGAAGCCAGAGATATTCTAAATACCCAGAATATGAAGCTGGTTTGGATTCCTAGGGTGGAGCCCATAGAGAAAATATGTTTTCTGATGCTTCTCTACCTATGCAATTCTGTTTCTGCCTTTCAAGGCCTTGTACTTTGTTAACTTATTTCAGACTCAGTTAACCTTCAATATATTCTGTTAACCTTTCTTCAAAAAAAAAAAAAAAGATTTTCAGATGAAACACATCTAAATTAATAAAACAGTTGATCTGCAAGGTGGTGGAGGTCAGTAAATTATAGGATTTGTTTTTCTTGGGAGGTGAAGAGTTTGTGAGGTAGACATTTAAAGAATCGGAGGGAAGTATCCGATGAAAACTAATTTGGATTTGAAGTAGCTGGCCTTAACTTAGGGCCAGAAGATGCTCTAGACAATAGGAGGCCAAGGTAAGAGATAAGTGTTGTTGACATAAAGGGGGGAGAGGTGGAAGCTTCACTGACCTTTGAGAAGAATACAATTTTGGAGCTAGATAAATTTACAATTGCTCTATGGATCTGAATTGAAAGAATCTATTAGGATCCCCAATGCAGTAAGACATTCTAGAAATCAGAAAAATTGTCAAACTGTCAAGGTTTCAAAAGTATTTTGCAAGGATAAAACGAAGATTATTTGGGATTGGGCCTAGCAAGAAGATAAAGAAGTCAAAGAGAGATTCCAAGAAAAGCAATGAGGTTCTGATCCAAGCTAAGGGAGAAGCTGCCTGGCAATGATTATTGGGAGCATGAATAGGGAATGGCAACAGGGCGGATTTGGGAGGGATTTGTAAATTCTAGACCAAAACCCATAGCGGGTTGGATTTTCAAAATGCAAACCCTCCTTGCACATGACAATGCATAACCCTCCCCAATCCTACCCTCTCTGCATTTTGAGGGTGGGGTGGGTCAGGTTGACAGGTTGGGTCCAAAACTCACAAACATCAGAGTTTCCAATTATTTGATTAAAAATTGTACAAAACAGATAAACTATCAATTGTCCTTCACAATATGCGGGTTGGGGAGGGTCGGTTTTAGCCTAACACCAGTCCCACCTGTATCCGTCGGGTTGTAAAATCCCAAAACCCACCCCACCCCAAAATCCATTTTTCAAGCAAAGAAAACCTTCCCTGTCAAGGAAGTGGGGGGTTTTGGTTCTTTATGGTTTTGTACTTTTGTTTTGAAGTATTGGCTGGCCCTAGGGTTAGGTTGGGTTAAGGTTTTTGTTCATCTCTTGGGTGACTGGTGGTCACTTTTCTTGTATCTTCTTTTGCGTTTTTAATAAATTTTATTTTATTACCCAAAAAAATATTAAGTTACGCAATGATACACTAAATCATAATTAATATAACACATTAAAACATGATTTTCTATTTGTTGACTTCACCTTCCTTTTTGTTGGAGACTTAGGGTTCAGATTTCAGATTTGCTCCTTGGTTGGCACTTAGGATTTGGACTGGAAGAAAGAGCAACTTCTTCTGTTTTATCACTTTCAGCTGCTGCTTTGGTACTAAACAAGGGGCTCCTCCCCCTTCCTTTTTGTTTATTTTTTAGTGCTAAAACAGGGCTAAGTTTATATTTAAATGGCCTTCTATGAATATCATGATTGTTTATGCTTTCATACAGAATTTGTGGTTATTTGATTATATAATTGCTAATTGTTAGTGCAGAAGATTTCTGGTTACTATGCAAAATAGGTATTCCCTGGTTGCCTAGCTACACCTTGGCACCCTGACAACTATGGGACTTTATACTATTTTTGTATAGAAGATATGCACAGTGAGGCTTCTATGATATTAAGAAAAGGTTAAGTGATTTTAGGTGACCAAGTCTGAATCATTTTTGGGTCTAAGAAGGGAGTGTTATTTTGTTTGGTCTCGGGTGGCCGGTTGAGTGGACAAGAATGTAATGATTTGTTTATTGATAATTACTTTGTTAGTGTGGTGACGGTGTTTCTGAGAGGGCTTTGGTGTTGGGCATTATATACCTTGATGGTGATGCCTTATCACCAAAGCTTGTACCCTCTGTAGTCTGTCCTTTTCTCTCTTAATATCAAAAGGAAAGTGAAATGCTTTTCATTCCCAAGTTTTAGGAATGGAGGGAGAAAGTTACAACAGCTGAAAGATGACCCGATTCAACACATTTTACACTAAAAAACAAGTTCAGTTCTCCTACACTTAATGCCTTCCACTAAGGCAGACATTAACCAATGAAAATTCATAAAAAAAATCACAGGGGTGGTTTTGATTGGTTAAATTCACAAACATGATAGTGGGTGGGTAGCATACCGAAATATCTCATGTTTGAGCGTTTGACCAATCAAAGCCACCCCCATGACTTTTGATGAATTTTTATTAGTTAGTGTACACCTTATTACAAGACATTAGTGTATGCCAATAGTAGCCCCTAAAAAACTGATACACAATCTTACAAATACCCTTCCTGGATCAGGTGACCTGCAATAAATAATCCTCTAGCCACTCATTCCCTAGCAAGATTGCAAGAGCATCTGCCAGACTGTTGGCAGATCTAGGCCCCCAATTGAATGAGCAATTTGGATGAGATCCAATATACCAACTTCCCTTATCATGTACCTAAGGATCCAAGAACCATGTTCTCCTGCTCATTGTTATTAAAAATTCTTTCATTTCATATACTCCAGAAGATTGCTGCTCCGGTATAGTGCTACATCAATTTTCACAATCCTTGAAGCAGAGGATACATGCATGAGGGAGCAAATGCCAAAATGGTCTTCTTCTTCTCTAAAGCGTATTTCTAATATTCATTATCTTCTTTGAGGCTTTCCAACAAAAATACAAAATGCTTTGAACTTAGGGGGAGAAGGGCCATTCCACACAACTTTGACTGGGAACAGTAGGGGATTAGTGGGGAAAGGTATCAAAAGCTTTGTAAATATAACATTATGTAAAGATGATATTTGCAAATATAACATTATGTAAATATAACAAGTGTATTTTATTGGGTCTACCCCAAATTCCAAATCCAACCCTTTCACAGGCATGTTAAAGGACACACTAGAATGCATCAAAGACAACATCCCACTACCTAGAACAAGACTTTAAACACAAGAGCTCAAGTGTAGCCCAAGGAATGTATATCACAAAAGCAGAAGTAAATATAAGGGGAAACACTAAAACAACCTTTAAAACATAAAAGTAAATGACAAAAGTCAGATCAACTGGAAAAAGGAGTGTCAAGACAAGCTTTTTCTTTCAATGGTTTAAACTGGAAAACCAAATCATGTCTGCAGGTAGTGCAATTTTGAAGCATGATAGAAACATCATTACCTTTTAAGCTTTTAAATGCATTATTAACATTCCACTCCATTAGGTTCCCTGATTTCCCACTGACAGTTCCTGCCTGACAATCCAACAGATTTTGTCAAAAGAAAAAGATACAAAAATATGTAGAACTTACAAGAAAAGATTCTACCATTTTAATTGCAGGGAAATGGACAAAAAGAAGATTATTAAGAAACTACATTGGAGAAATGCACAGATTGATACTGATTTCTATACAATGGGAAGCCTTCTTAAAGAACAAGGTGCTCAATTACTGGATAAAAGAATCCCCTTAGATTATCATAAAATAACTAAGAGGGTATTTGATGTAAATGGATTTTTCTACTGTTGCATTTAGCAAACTTGCCACATTAGTGTTTTAGTATAAACAGGAAAAAAACGTTTTTTGATGCCCATTAATGCAAATAAAAAATAAATAAATAAATAAAACCCAATCAGGGTACTATTACATTGTTGATTATGCTCAAACACAATGGTTAAAATTACTAAAATACCAAATACTGTCTAAATATGTGCAAAAACTTCTAAAGATCAAATTCTTAAATGCTAGGATGTAATGTGAAATAAAATAAATAATGTCATTGGCGTTTCTCCAATGATCAAGATGACTTGTGGAGACACCACATTGCTACCAAGTAGTATTTGGAATTTTGGTTGGGATGTAACAGAGATTAGATCTTCTTTCAGATGTAGCCTTTGGCAAGTCACAAAAAGTTTATCTAAATTTTAAGGCACAAAAGTTAGAATGGAAGATGTTTCTAATACAAGAGTATAGACTGATGTCTAGTGCAGCAGAAGACCTCACATGGAATGCTTCCCTTCTCATATCCTCATTGCTGAAGATTCAAAATGCTCTTGCTCAGATGACAATGGAGCTATGTGGTAGCCACGGTTAAGGAGGAACCTTCATGCTAGGAAGCTGATGGTTTTTCTAGTATTTTCAGATTTGGTGATCAGCAACCAGATCACCCTGATTCTTTCTTTTTGCGGTTTAATACAATACCTTACCTTTTTCAAAAAAAAAAAAAAAGGGCTGATGGCTTTTCTTGTCTTTCAGATTTGCTAATCAGCAACCAGATTAATCCTAACACACCAAACACTATAGTTTGGGCAATTGATCACCCTGATTCTTGGTTAAGCCTTTCCCTTGCTTTATCATTGCCCCAAGCATTCCTTCCTCCTGGACCATCATGCCATCTGGATCCATGCTGTGCCCTCCAAGATTTCTTTCTTACTGCTGCTTGGATAAATGCCTCATTGTAGAGAGCTTCATTAGTAGAGGACATAGTTTAAAATGTCCCTAATTTCCATGACATATTTCCATTTCCATGGGTAGTGACACGAAATTTTACCAGAATCAACATTTCCCCAATGAACACTACCAGACAACAAATAGTTTCCACAACATATTTCCATTTTCACTTCCATGGGTAGCGACATGAAATTTTACTGGAATCAACATATTTCCTAGTGAACACTACTAGTACTATGTGGAGTCCAAGAAATAGTATTATAACATAAGTTGGTACAATGTTGTATATATGTTAAGTAACAATTTTATTGTCTGCCTAACTTACATGTTTACCACTTTGAGCTAGCTCAAATATTCATTTTAAACATGAAGTTAAATTTTAGTTCTTTGTTAGTGTAATAGATTATTAGGTTGATCTATTACAATCATTTACATTTTCTATAAGTTAAAATTTTGCTTTAACTCATTTTATCATGAAGCTCTGAATCTTAAAGTATACAGGGCAACTTCAGAATGTATTCTTTTGTCTATAACCTTAGTTTCTTAGCTTTGTTTAATGATTTGCAACAAGATAATAATTTAAAAAGGTGTGCCTATTGCTTCTTTTGTCATTTCATAAAATACTTTTGTATATTTTGCTTATTTTAAAACGTTTCCACCATGTCTATAATTTTTACAATATTTCCGACATTTCTGACATGTTTCTTATATTTGGATGACCGACATTGACATTTTAAACCTTGGTAGAGGAATCTCTCTGCACTACACCCCTTGCTGGTTATGTCATTCTGAAACTGAACCTACAAATGACTTGCTAGTACACTGTAGCTTCTCCATGCAACTATGGGCCCATTTTCTTAGTAATTTCAGGGTTCTTGGTGCTTTCCCCTATTGATGGGGAAGCTCTTTTCCTGCTGGAAACTGGGGAACTTAAGTAGAAGAGGTTCTGTTATATGGAGTATTAGTCATTTAGACTATCTGGAGGAAAGGAACTATGAAATTTTTTATAGTAGGCAGCAATCTGTTGAACAGGTTCTCAGAAATGTCATTGGGATGGTTCATTCATGGCTTTTTGTTCACATGATCTCCAGTGGAGTTAGAGCTCGGCTTTCTTTTTTCTTTTTTCTTTTTTTTTTTAATTTTGAGTCACTGTTCAACTCTTACTGATCATTTATGTTTTCAAGCATGGCTTCTGCTTTCACTTGACTACATGAATAACATCTTGATTGGTCATCACAAAGAAGGCACAGTAGATGTTCAGGATCATCAAGTCTTAGCTAGGACAGCTTTTGAGAATTTGTGGCACTGGGCTGATCATCATCTTGTCTAGCTTTCTTTTTCTGCTATATCAAAGAAAAGAAGACGGAATAGAAAGGAACCCAGAAATTAAAGACCTTATTGATCCCATGTCAAAGACTCAAAAATAATCCAGAAACTTTAGTTTTCTTTGAAAGAAAAAATATTGCTCATGAGTGACATTGGGTTGAACCAGGTTCCAGAAAAATAAAAACTAATTTACCCAATTGAGCATGTTTTAGCCAATATATCATTATTACTGACCCAAATTTATAGTTAGACGTTTTTCTCATATCTGAAGAGAAAAACCAAGTTATATAATTAGGCTCTCAGAAGGCATGGGCTTCTCTGTCCTACCATGACCATCCATCCAATTGTTATCTAGTCTATCTTGATCTTGTGCTGTCAGAAACCACATTTGTAATCATTACTCTTGATGTTAAGAACTAAAAATGACTTTGCAACTCTGGCACTGTACAAAACTGTAAAATATAAATCAAAGCCTGCCATCAAAACAAGAGTTTGTACATCAAATGTGGAGAGCTCTCCAAAGAATTGTTTGTTTCATTATGGTCTGGGCAATAAGACCTACAATAAAGGTGAGATGCTCATTGGTGCATACGTTCAAAATCTCAAATTGTAGCAACTGTCTAGAGTCTAGACTATTACTATTCCATTGTTTCTTGTTTACTTGTATGCATCTAATGATTGGTAGCATCTTAATTCAATGGATACATCTGCAAAACCTAGATGGTTAAGTACATAAACTGTGATCACTAAAAAGATATCGACAGGAACGACACAATTGAGGTTCATTCTACTGATAGGATCGGCAATAAGCTTCTATAATTCGAACAATTAAGAACGATAAGTGACAAACGCTCCAATAAGCTAACCACACTAAAAATAAATAAAAGTTAAAATACTCATAGAACCATCCTATATACTATTGAAAGCACAAAAAGTCTACTAGAAGAAGCATTTGCAAATTGTGATTACAAAAGTGAGCAACTTTTACCTCAAAGTTCATTGAGCTAGCAGCAAAAGTTTCAGAAAGGGCCGGCAGGGTTACTTCACCCTTCAAGTCCACTCCGATGAAAGACAATCTAAACAGCACGGAACAAGAAAAATCAAATTTGACGCAAACACTGACAATTAGGGTTTCCGAACAGCAAGGAAACCCATTCACCATGTGACGTACTTGAAGGCTTCCTAGCCGGACAGCGACATCGCTGATGCTCGATTGAAATACTGAACGGGAACATTCAATTCAACACAAAGAAGTAGTAACAGGAAAAAGAAGACCCAAATGAGAGATTGGGAACACGGAGCAGAACGATGAGTTGCAGAGAGTTACCGCGGGAGGGAGAAAGTGATGACTGGGGGAGACGAAGCCGGATCGAAGCAGAATCTGAGCCGATCTGAGCCGAGCGAGACAAAAGAGCTAAGAGAGAAAGAAGATAGATCAGTCGTTTAGAGAGAGAAGAGAAGTCGAAGCTTCTTGTTTTAGCAGAGCCGCGACGCTTAAGGAGCGATTTCTCCAATCCATCCAACTCCAATCTGACTGACGCCTTCTCGACGGCTTAACGACGCCCCGCTTGCTTTATTTATGGACAGCAGAGTCTGAATTCCAAAAGCGTGGCTCGGCTGGCCGATCATGCGAATGGTCGGTCGGCTCGCGACTCGACCGGATTATCGATTCATTCGGGTGCCGAGTGCCGACACCCAGCCGATACTGTGCAGCAGCGCCGGGCTAAGACCGTGAATCACGGCCCTCGATGTATTGATGTGGTCCACTTTGATTTCAAGGTTTTAGCCCAGTGGAGTAGCCGATAAGCTGACCGTTCTTCTTCAAAAAACAGTGGGGCTACTACACATTTTTATACTGCTGAAGTGCTGAGAGAGAAAACAAAGCGACAAAATAAAAAGGGTAGTTTCGTCTTAGAAAAAAGAAAAGTGGAACGCAATCACGCAATAGGTGGCCCACCTTCCAAAGCCCCGGATTCCTAACTCCGAAAGTCCAATCCAAGTTGACATTTTTAACCTTTTAAGGTGAGGTCAGAGCCTCAAAGGTTTCCTTTTGGGCCAAGTGGGCCCAAAGATATTTGGGCTGTTCACTGAAAATTCAAAATGAAGCCATCTCTGTAGAAGTCTCTGGCTTGGCCCATACGAGATACATGGCTACAAGCTTTGTGTATATGTGGTTAGAACTAAAAAGTAAAAATCATGCAGCAGCGCCTTTATAAGCTAGAGTCCGGCTTTCTTCTATGTTACCAAGCCCAAGGCCAGTTAGCAAGAAAAATAAATAACAAAAAAAGCCCAAAGGCCAAAGGGGTTGGACTCGCAGGCTTGGCTCTATCTAAGGTCCAAATAAAATGGATTGGACTTCAAACCATGGTGGACTCTGTATTGTTTGAATGGTCGAAGTTCCCCTCTTTTAATCTGATATAGATTATGGACCAATCTTTTCATGTGGATCCATGTTCACAAGAACTTGGCAAACATTTTAATGTTAACTTTCAATTTGAGAATGAAGACGAGGAAAAATTAGTTTGTTTGGTGAGTTACATTATAATAATAATAATAATAATAATAAATAATAATAATAATAAATGAGAGCAAAATGAAGTGGTTTCCACTTAATATAAAATGAGCGAATACAGGAAAAGGGTTACTTGTTTGGGAGTATAAGGTACAAAGCAAGATGGTGTGGTCCCCATTTTATATAAGAAAATATTGAGGTAGGAGGAAGATGATGTTTGCATCAGTTTTTGGGATGCAAATTTTGTACCAAAAAAGATCTTCATTTTGAGTGTATATAAGAAAATATTGAGGTAGGAGGAAGATGATATTTGCATCAGTTTTTGGGATGCAAAATTTGTACCAAAAAAGATCTTCATTTTGTGTGAGCCACTGAATTTTGGAGGAAAAGGAAAGAATAAAAAAGATGAAGAGTGATAGTTTAGACTTTAGACTTTTTTTATTGGAGGGCATTTTGGTCTAAAAATTTTAATATTTTTCCCGCTGACCAAATTCAGCATTATTTTCAAAAGATTATGTAATTCGTCAATTAAGGAAATTTCATCCCAACACAACACAATCTGTTGCACACCTCATTATAAGATTGGGACCCACCTTGTATGATATGTGCAGACATTGATTATGTTGGAATGTGTTGAAACAATTTTTTATTGGGAAGAGTTCAGACTCCATCATTTTTAGCAAAATTTTGAAGGTGATTGAAAATAAATGTTATGAAATTCGAACCAATGGCTATAGTAAAAAAGCAACATTAATATAAATTTTAAGTATATATACTATCTGAGGATGTAGATTATTTAAATCGAATTGAAATTTATATGAGGCCAGATGGGGTGGATTATTCAGATTGTGTTGTTTTTCTTCTGTAGGTGTTTGTCCATCTCAATGGTTTCATTTTTTAAAACAAAAACAATTGCTGAGGAGAAACAAATTTTCTTCTTTGCTTGGATATGATCATATGAAAACAGCATAAAACATATGTAGTTATTTTGAAGTACATCACACGTTTTCTGAACAAAACATTGTACATGGGCCTAGACTTCTTTGTCCCTAACAGCATGGCATCTAGCCACACAACATGAACATATCCACCTCTCGTTGCACATAAGAGGTTGTTACTCATGGGTCTGGATCTGCTGAAAGCAAAAGGTGTGCAAACATGCTGAGAGCACGGCATCCAGTCACACATTGGAAACATTTTTTGTATTTGTGTGTTAAATTCATGGGAAGATGTTCTAATAGATGCTATTATATACTGTGTTTCAATGCATCCATACACTTTTTTTTTTTTATTTCAACAGTCCTATTTGTTATTTCAAATGATAAACTATTAGGAACATCTCTTGTACTTATATGTTAAATTCATGGAAAGATAATCCAAGATGTATGACTATACGCTGTGCTTTCAATATGTTTACACACTTTTTCACTTTCAGCAGATTCTATCTCACTACTTATTATTTCCAATGATAATTTATGATGCTGAAAGAACCTTGGCAGTTATGCATGTTGTCTTACTCGGTTTTACATGCCCATTAAAACAATAAGTAGCGGATTTACCTTAATCAGTTTTGCATGGATTTTCCTACGTGGACACCCTACATATTCCTAATAGCACTTCTAAAATTTTATGAAATATTTTTTTTTTATTTCTTTACTTTTTTGACATTAGTGAAGAGCTAATGTACTAGATAAATGTTATATATTTATATCAAATATCATAACAAGGGTGATATTTCTTTAGGTAATATAATGTTGGTGTAAGTGGGGTGGTAAGGCAGAGGATATTGGTCTCACTGAAGGACAGAGGATGATCAGAGGACTGTGTGAATAGGAAGAATCTTAGTGAGGAGGGAGATGGGGTGTTGCAAGGGAGGGTCGGGAGGCAAAGAATCTCTCCCAGTACTCTTAAGGCGGATCGCTGAAACTATAGTGGGAAATGTATAAAAATGAAATTTTGAATTTTAGTAAGGAGGGAGATAGGGTGTTGCAAAGGAGGGTTGGGAGGCAAAAAATCTCTCTCAGTACTCTTAAGATGGATCGCTGAAGCTACAACGGGAAATGTATAAAAAGGAAATTTTCTTATTCGAAAAGTGAATCACGATTATTTGAATACCTAATGAATAAGCTTTATCAGGGTTTTGTCACGTGTCAATTGAGGATCTTTTAGGATTGGGATTTCCTTTACCTTGGAACTATCACGTGGCCTGTTTCTGACTACAACTCTTGCATGCCTGCTTGCAGTCACGTGTTAAGAGCAAGACTCTTTAAGTGATGACATGTCTCGGTCACATGGCTTATTATGACGAGGCAAGCCACCATAGGCCATCACACCTACACATGAGGCGAGCTCTATTTGCTGAGGTTTCGAATAACCATGAACATGTATAAGGACATCGCGGTCGCGGGCATAAGTGATTGCATTCATTACTTTCAAGTGATTCCAAGTCATCACAAATGCAAATGTCTACGTTTGTGATTACGCGGCAACTTTATCGACAATCACAATACTCACCGCGGGCGCTGTAGTGGACTTAGTGGTTACCCCTGTGTCATCGTAATCTCCATCGCAATCTTCGTGATGCTGATCTACGTATACTTGAGAGTTGAAATCGAAAAAAAGCTCATTCTACGATTCTAAAGGGCTATTAGCCTAGATTTTGATTTTTTTTTTCTTTCAATTTGCTGTTAAGGTTAGATGCAAAAAAAACACAAAAAAAAAAAAAGTTCAGTATCCAACCACCAGAGGAACTCATAAACTGAACAACTGTTGTTTTGTCCAAACCGGAGAGACAGGATTAGCTGAGCACTACTGGCACTCAGGGATTAAAAATAATCAAATGAATTTTCTATCAACAATTGTAAATTGAATTGATGATGGTCGCACAAAACTACACGTTAGAAGCAAACTGTGAGTCAAACCAAACCAAACTGTAAATCAAACCAGACATCACCAACCACGCCCAAATCCCAATCATTCACTCAAAAAGAACCCACTTGTATTTTACAAGTCTACATGTTAAAGCAGTGGAATATTTCTGCTAGAGGCCACGTATCAAAAATCACCTAATCAGCCCAGACTCAAATCAAAGGCCACTAAAGTGAGTCTGGATGGGCTAGAAACAAATTTGTGCACAGCAGGCTAGGTGGCGTATCATATCAAGTTCTATTGGCTCGCCAAACAGTACGTCCGTTCCACAGGCGCCCTATAGCATGATACATGATTTTGAAAATTGGACCGGAAACGGTACCATTTTTACCATTGTTCTTGGGTCAAATGGTGTGCAACCCGGTACGATGGTTTTGGGGTCCAAAACTGAATCAAGAGCCATGACCGATTCCTGAGTCAACTAGTCCAACTTTTGGTCCGGTCTGATTTTCAAAACCATGGCATGATATGCTATGAAGAGCCAATGCTAATTCTCAAGAATGAATACGCCAGTATCCTATACACATATGATGTGGACTCCACATGGCCCCATGTCCACGGTATTCTTGATAGATTGCCTAACCCGGTGTGCACTACTTTGTTTCCAGCTCATTTGGCCCTCACTAAACTACATCACTCTCTTCAAATTATCAACTTGAAACTCGTCAGCCGTATTATTTTTATTTTATTCAATTAAATCATCCACTCAGCAAAATTGTTTGAAACAGTTGCTTATGTCAATTCCGTGGCCAAAAGAAGTGGTGGCAAGTGAAAAGCAAAGAAAAAAAACAGAAAAAGAGAAGAGAAGAAAAGGAAAAACGAAAAGTTACTTATAATAGAACTTTATAAAGCATCAGATTCATGTATGTACAAAGAAAGTGACAAGGCTGGACCTTAAATAAAATCACCCTTCTGATGTCAAAACCCAGGCCACTTTGTCTCATTACAATGACGTCTTTCTACCCATGTGGACACAGTTAGATAGGCCCGAGTCAGGCCCAGCCCATGATGTTATATAGGTTCAATCTGTGCACTGTGGGCATTAGACCGGATGCCCGAGAACCTCTTACTACTTTTCAACTGCATTCTTTTCTCCTCTTCCTTGATCTTCTCCAAATTATATGAAAAGGGCTTGGAAGAATTTGGTACGGAATCTTTTGCGGTGGGGCTTGAGTTGGGACGCTAGTACTACAAGCCAGTGGAAAATTAATGTAGTTAATAAACATAAATGGATAAGTATAGGGGCAATATCAAAGCATACTACCGGACCACCAAGTGGGTTAATCCGGTTCTGTCACCGAGTCAACCAATATCATAAAAACCCTTCTTGAATTTTTTCCGGTTGACCCGCTAACAGAATACAAAAGAAAGACTGTAAAATAAAGGGAAAAGGTATTCACCACAATCTAGCAATCTCGATCTGGGAGAATTCTAAACCCGTCGAAATTAGTGGTGTCGGTGGTCTAGTCGTCGTCGTTGATGAAGTTAATGGTTGTTTAATGGCAAGGATTCTGCAATTGAGGAGGTTGCTTGTTATGTTGCGGTGGGCCATGCCCATCCTGTGGACAAAATGTAAAAACGACAACTCTTTGAGTTTCAGTTGAAACAGTTTTCAGGCGTACTCAGTTTTTAATTTTCCCTCTCGTCGAGGAAGCATCGAGCATGCTTCCATATCAAGCTGTAGCTGAATTCCAAGAATTCAAATTTGTAGGTCCCATTCAGGGTCCGTTTTGGGGGCACCATGCTGGAGACCCTCTAAAATTGAATTGACTTCAGGTGACTAATGATGAATCAATCAGCCCAAAGTTGTAAACTGGAAGGCGGAAGCCTGAAGATTGATATGTTTCATCTTTTCATATGAGATTGATTGAAATTTGAAAGCGAATATGGGAAAGAGAAGAGAAATCACAGATTTACTTACTTGTAAAGAAAGCTCTGATCATGGAGTCCGACAACCAACGCCGAAGCTCCAATCTCCCTCACCGTCGACACAATCGTCCGACCCTCTAAATCACCTTCCCTGACGACAATCTCCACCTTCGCCTGCAAATTGAATCGATTCCAATTCATCTAAGGAATCTATAAACTTAGTCGAAGAAGTAAAGATGAATGAATTTTACTAGCTAGGAGAGTAAGGATCAAAAAGAAAAGACGGTATGTATATGCATACATCAAGCACCGTGTTGCAGATATCTTTGAAAGAGAGAGCCAATTGAAAGCCTCTCAATCGGAGAACTCTCTGTTTCTTCTTGCTTTTTGATCTTGAGGGGGGGAAAACGTGAAGAAGTATGATGGAGTCACCGTAGCGGAGCAAGTTCTGGAGAGCCCATTGCAGCGCCATTCGAGCTGCGTCTACATCCTCCACCACCACTAATATTTTCCCCATCTCTTTCGCCACCTCCAACCCCAACTCCTCCTCTACGACTTAAGCCTTAGGGTTTGAAAATTCATTCTCATCCTAACTTTATTTACTCTCTCTCTCTCTCTCGACACTTCCTTTTTTCCGTGTTCTTCTGTTTGTTTGCGGATGGTATTGAGGTTACAAAGAAGATTCTATCCATCAACGATGAGTCGATGACTTCTTAAATGGATCCATGTCGGCCTCCAAGGTGTACCCCAGGTCATCGAGAGAGTTGGGACACAGAAATGCTTAGCTGACGTGGTGCATATTAATACGGGAACATTCATTACACAGTGCGGCCAAGCTTTCCACGTGGCTAATTCGGGAACCCAACGGCGGCTTTGTTTCTTCTCTTTATATAAGTCTATTATATTAATAGCATAGTATAATATAATAAATAAGAATAATGTTGGCACGTCTATAGATTGACGGATCTCGGCCATCCATTTCATTGGTTGAAGTGTTCATGATAAAAAAAAAGGATGACGTGTTGAAAACTTTGAACGAGTAAAATGTAGGAAGCACAACGTGTGAGATGGGCAGTGGGCACATACCACAAAAGTTGAAGAGAAGAAGGTCAGGTCAGGACTCAGGAGAGGGCCCACCAATCGCCCGTATTTCCTTGCTAAAGATCCGGTGGGAATAGGATGGTGCTGGAAAGTGGAAACCGTAGAGAACGGATCATGCAATAATTTCCTTCAACTCTCTCTCCAATTCTCTGTGTTACAGAGTACAGAGAGACAGTTACAAATAAATCAGGGGCAGGGGAGACCCGAGGATGCCGGGGACAGAGCAGGGTGCACGCGTGGCTCACTGGCCATTCTATGATCTATCATCATCTACGGAGAGAGTGAGAGGTTCTGATCTCGAGCCTTTAGGCTTTGGGAGTGGTGCCGAGTTACCATCTCGAGTCTCGACAACCGAGTCCATCAATTTTATCGTCATCTTCTTTTCTGGGAGGACCGAACCGAGGACTCACTCACATGTAGATTGACAGGGTCAGAGTATAATAAATACACAAAGTAATGATACATTGAAGGGTGAATCCTAAAGCATGGTAAGGTTTGGCCCACTGGCCACCGGAAGGGAATACATGGTTTTAAAAACTGATTTGACCACTGCTTCTTGGGTCAACCAGTTCGGTCCTCCGGTTTGAATCCCAACCAAATGGTTTTGGAGTCCAAAACCGGACCGACCTTTCAATCCAGTCCAGTTGTCAAAACCACAGTCATGCCTTTTGGCAGTTGTGGGGGTGGCTACTGTTTGAAGACTGAAGAGTGAAGAGGGTAGAGCTAGATGAGGATCTATTCTTTATTGACAGAAATATTACTGAGAGCTCCTGAGCCTGACCCACCAAAATAATTAATTAATAAAAGGTGATTCATCATTCATGAATCATGACCAGACCAGCACAAAATGTTCAGAGGGCATGGGTTGAAATGGTGAAAAACAATAAATCAGAGGCCTCAGAATTTGCCAGAACAAATGGCACTGAATTTTGTAGGTCACATAAAGGAATTCCCTACCTCCCAAGTCCCAACTGTGTATGCTACCATAATAAATGCCTCAATTTTCAGGCACCCTAGAGAGAGAGAGAGTTAGAATCATTATTAACTTACTTTTAATAGCAGATGGATGAATATGATCTGTGCCGTTCATCCTACTTTGAGTTTGATGATAATCAGTTAATGTTAGATATCTTTTGTTTGTTATTGACATAGGATAAGAGTAGAAAAGTGTTTTCTTTTTTTTTTTTTTTTTTTGCCATAAAAGGGACCAACCAACATATAAGAACTTTTCCACCTCTTCTCCCCTCTTTGGGGCAGGGGAGGCGATTGGGACAGGCGCACAGTTGCTCACACTGGATGGTGGATTGTACAATCAGGTCACATTCTCTTTTGGGACAACAGGGCGGCAAGGCCCAAGTCAACACAACACAATACAATAACATGGGTTGCCTTCCCAACAGAAACAATGCAAGAAATAGAATTTAGACTCCGTGTAGAAATGGTTTTCTACAACTTTTTAAAATTGCGACACCAGGAACAAAACAAAAGTCAAATAAACATTCTTGAATCATGTTTTTGTTTTTGAAAAGTTGAAATGGATTGGTTTTATTTGAAAAGACATTGCATGTCTTTAAAAGTAACCATCACAAATATAAGACACGTAATAACCATTGTGTAGAAATGGATTGGTTTTATTTGGTTTCGAAAATGAAGAAGACACGTAATCATGGTTCAAAGTATCAATACGTATATAATAAATACAATACATAGAATTTGGGAAATTTATCAATTTTAGCTAATAGTAGCGGGTTTACATTATGATGGATTAAAGGGTGTGGATTGAAACTTAAATAAAGATTGATGCTTTTAAATGCTCAATAGTGAATTTTTTCAATATCAAATATATAAATACTTTAAACCATGCATATAACCAACAACAGTTTCTCTGTTTTTATTTAAGAATCAATTTGTTTTCAAAACCACCTGTTTTTTGTTTTGTTTTCGGAGCTCAGCAACAATAAAAAAAAAAAAAAACAAATGGAAAATACCCCTTAATTGGCTAAATTAACTGATTTAGACATTTCAATTGGTCCAATTGTCTACTTCAGTTTTGATGTGTCAACTGTCAAGGTCTAGACAGTGACCCGTTTAGAGCCGGCCATTTGGTAGAGTATGCAGATTCAGCTTACCTCTACAACATCAGCTAACTTGTAAGATTTGATATTATATATCGTTGAAAGAGGAATATATGTGCTTTATGAGAGACAGAAAATTGGGAAAATTATAAGAGGCCGGTTATCAAGGCTTTGTCAACTCAATTTAATTTTGCTACCAAACCAACCAATAGCACCACCAAATTAATTACTCAGAAGACAATCTGAAGAATAGAGTGACTAACAGAAGTGGTGACTGGTTTCAAATTAGAAGAGATGACTGAGTAACGAGCTTAAGGTAGTGGGCAAGCCGTCGGTCTTACCGTCTTAGAACCTGCCGAGGCCTGAGACCAACCTTTGGAACATGAATTCTCTCTTTTTTCTTTTTCCTTGCGATTTAGCTTTCATTTGTATGTTCAATGCTTGGGGCCTAGCTAGCCCTGTCATGTGTAGCTCCTCCTACTCCGAAGTCTGAATCTTCTTTCAGCCCTCAAAAAGATCAAACAGGAATATTGAGGATTTCAATGAGATTGACTAAGGTTTGGATGGGATGAAATTTGATACGTGGAACCTGCTCCTCAGACCCATGTATACAAACGGGTATGGACTATGGATAGCCAACAGTATATATATATAATGGTTTGTAGTCGATAAAACCCTGGGCAAAATCGACATTTCACGTTTTCTTTAAAAGCATGGCATCATTCTTTTCGGTTAAGATGGTTAATGTCTTGACATCAAATTGAGGGAAGGGCCGAAGAGGTCTCAAGAAATAAAAAAAAAAGGGTACCCATCAAACTCTTATGAACGTTTGTTAAAGAAAAAAAAAAACAGAATATGGTCTCCACAACAGAATAATTGTAAAAGGCGAACTAAGACAATCTAACACCACAAACTTGGTAAGCCAATCTAACATCTTCTGATGGATTCAGGTTTCACAGTTTCAGGTTCTCTTTGAAGATGTGAACTTTTCAACAGTACTTGGTAAACCACCCTATCATGTTCTGATGAGCCTCCTCAGCATGCTTCACAGCTGCTTCATCTTCAACTTTGTACCTCACAGTCCATCCATGCGCAACACCAGGAAATATCTTCACATGACTATCAATCTGTAAAGCACCAACAACAACCCTTGATGGAGACGTACATGGGAATCCAAAACCTCACTTTGTGCAATTAGTCTAATTTGTTCAATACAGACCTACTAATTCATGAATTGTGAAGCACTATGATCGGATGGAAGTGTCATTTAACATCAGTTACAAAAATAAAAATGAAGGCATTATAGCAGGTATTTCAGAAGGTTGATCACCAAACTTACACTGTACTGCACTAAAGTGGGGCCCATGTCAAGGTGCATTAGAAAACATGATGACATGGGTCTCACCATATCTATAGTGCATCAAAGTCTAGTGGTGGTAACCTCTGCAGTGACTGCTAGAATATTACACACGAATAACAAAGAAATCTAAAGATGGCAGCTCATAACTATAGAGTCAACACATATGCATCATAGTGATGGTTTAAAATGTTGTCCAAAAAGTAAGTCCCAGTTCTTAGTTTTTAATTGAAAACAGAATAACAGAATAACAATGCCCTAAAGCACCAAAACTCGTCAAAGTTTACCATGTTTATATTCATCTCTAGGGAAGTACTGTGGAAGAAATGGATGTTCAGACAGTATATGTCTATCAACCCTTTTTATTGTATCTGGACCTCAAGGTCACAACTCTTAGAACCACTTTGAGAGGAATAACTTACTACAGGATCTAGTCTCAATTCAGAGCTTTGGGATGCTGTGGTCTTTGTAGTTCCGAAAAGGACTCTGAATGATTGTTCATGCAAGAAGAATGCCAGCCAATATTTTCATCTTTACATCAATGGAAAGAAGGCAGCATCACGAAAGAATCCTAGTGGGTGCCTACTTAAGTAATCCCACAGGGCTTAGGACTAATACCTGCAAGCTTATCAGAGAAGCTTTTTCAGATACTATACAAAGAAATGCACATGTAGATGCTTTTCTTGTATGTGAAAAGTTCTGGAGAGCAATCATATACAAGGAATAGATGTGCCAGTCGAATGCGAAGGAACAACCACAATTTTGCCTTTGTAAAAAGGTGTGTTATGTAAATTGGACCTAGTGAAAGCCTACGATTTGGTGGGCTGGATTTTTTTATAAAAGTCCTAACTCATTGCGGTTTTGGAGAGAGATGGCATAAATGGATTTTAGGCTGTTTGAATACATGTGGGTATTATGTATTAGTGAATAGCACAGTAGTGGACACTTTTCCTGCTAGACATGGGATTAGACAAGGAGACCTGCTTTCACCTTTCTTCTTTACACTTCTTGCAGATGCCCTTAGTAGACTTGTATTAAGGACAGATTCGAGACAACTGGTGAGAGGTTGGAGAGTTGGGAAAGACAAGGTGCCACTCACCCATTTACAGTTTGCAGACGACAATTCTTTTTTGCAAAGAAGATGA